CACACGCCCAGCCTGGGACTCTAACCCAGGTCATCTGAGTCTGGGCCTCTGGTCGGGGTCCACCAGGCATCCCCCCTTCCTAGTTCTCAGTTGCCTTGAAACCAGATGAAGCACCCAGAGGCCACCACTAACCAACTGCTTTCAGAGATTTTACCGGTTTTGGAACAAGTAATGGATTCCTCCCATTGCACACACCCCCTCTTCCCGCAGTGTCCAGCATGGGGGGGGGGGCAGCGCTACACGTGCCAGCCGGTGACGGACAACTTCACCTCAGCACTGCTTTCCCTGCAGACCCGCATGACTTAGGCTGGACTTATTTTCTTCTCTCCTCCGTGTCTTCCTTTTCCTTCTGGGGAGCAGCCCTCTTCCCCATGGCCCCACTTGCAGCCCTGGTGATGGGCGAGCCTAGTTCACCTTTGGTGGAGGGGCTGTAAACCCCAGAAGTGGTGTGAAGGCGGTCACACTTCACACGTCGTGCCTCAGAGGGTCTCTGGAGGAGCAGCAGCACAGAACGTCTGATTTCTCATTTAGCCACAGAGAAACATACACGTTTTGATTTGCAAGTAGGAGCAGCAGAGACAACGGGTCCTGTAGTTCTGAGTGCGCCTGCGTGGAAGCCCTCGCCTCTGCCTGCTTCGGCTCTCACCATGTTTGCCGCGTCTGCGGGTGCAGGTGCCACCCCATCTTTCTCACGCATCTGAACTCAGCAGGGAGCTCACACTGGCCTTCGCCTTCCTGAGGTCTTGGAGGGCATCCCGCTCTGTGGTCACCAGTCCTGAGTAGCCTGTCCACAGTGGCTCTCTGGCTGGTGGCCCGCCCTGCCCAGATCCCAGCCTGGTCTCCACCCTTCTCCGTGGTCAAGTTGTGGACAGGCATCCCTGCCTCCAGGGTCTCCTGCTGGGGCTTGGCCAGTGAGCCTGGGGACCGGCCACTGCGAGTCGTGCAGGAGGAAGGCAGGAAGCAGGCCAAGCACATCCCTGGGTCTGGCCCTTGGTCCCTTCTGGCCTCTTCAGATACTTAACCTGGTTGCTTTCTGGAAAAAAAATGATACTGGGCCAGTGTCCATGCTGGGAGCCGCAGTGTGGCGTCTGTCTCCATCTGTCCCAGGGCCAGGCAGCCAGGGGCTGGCTGGGCAGGAGCAGTGCTTGCACTTGTCACTCACCATGGTGGCCAGGTTCCCAGGGCGTGGGGGGAACACGAGGAAAGCCACTGTAGTTTTTCTCGCCATTGTACCTGCAAATGCACTCATTTGCCCAGCTCTCTCCTTTCCTCAGGATAAACTCTGTGTGGCCTTTCTGGTCACTTTTCCTAGTTCTGTTCAGGGGGCTATCACATCAGCCCTGAGCTGAGCCCACTGCAGGCCTAGCCGGTTCTTCTCTGTTTCTCACTTCACCTCCTCCCCATTCTCTGGCAGCACCTGTGCCCCCTGAGGGGCCAGCGCAGGCCAGACAGGAGAGGCCAGAGGGCAGCCAAGGCCATCTTGGCTCTCCTCCTTTGGGTGCCCGCTGGGCTTGGGGGAGGTCCTAATGCTGACTCCATTTCCAAGGACGTGCTTTTGCAGGTCTTCAGACCTCCCCCCAGCTGAGGGTCTCTGCCCTCCATTCCCTGGACAGAGGAAGTGGTGCCCCAAGCCAATGGCTGCGCCCGCCCTTCAGGCCTGGCCTCTGGGCTTCTCCCTCATAGGCAGAGTCCTGAAGGCAGCGTGGCCCAGGCCTCCTCCCAGGATTCGCGCTCAGTCTCCGCAACCCTGGAGCCCCAGGGATGCTCCCTGTCCCTCCGCTCAGCACGAGAAGGGGACCCTCTTCCCTTTGCCAAGAGAAGACAGAGGCAAAATGCAGAGATGCTGACAACTTGCTCAAGAAAAGTCTCTCTTTTGGACTTTTGCACCCCAAGAGAAGGTGGACCCCCCAGCAGGGGTACACCTCCTAGAAGGAGGAAACAGTCCTGTTCTCTGTGGTGTGACCGCATAAGAGCTCTCCAGGGAGGAGGATGTGGGGAGGTCCCGTGAGAGTGACTAAAAGCCTCTGTGAGGTCTCTCTCACAGAGCTCAAATGTTACCATAGTAACGTGTCAGAACCAAAACAGCCTTGGTTCTAGAAGCTCCCCACCTGTGTCTGGGATCTACCTGCTGCTGTGGGTCCAGGTGACTGTCCGGAGCCCACACACAGCCCTGCAGACTGCAGTTATTGGGCCAGAAAACCCTGCGCCCTCCACATATATACAATGGAATATTACTCAGCCGTAAAAAGAAACAAAACTGAGTTATTTGTAGTGAGGTGGATGGACCTAGAGTCTGTCATACAGAGTGAAGTAAGTCAGAAAGAGAAAAACAAATACCATATGCTAACATATATATATGGAATCTAAGAAAAAAAAGAAAATGGTCATGAAGAACCTAGGGGCAAGACACAGACCTACTAGAGAATGGACTTGAGGATACGGGGAGGGCGAAGGGTAAGCTGTGACAAAGTGAGAGAGTGGCATGGACATATATACACTACCAAACGTAAGGTAGATAGCTAGTGGGAAGCAGCCGCATAGCACAGGGAGATCAGCTCAGTGCTTTGTGACCACCTAGAGGGGTGGGATAGGGAATGTGGGAGGGAGGGAGATGCAAGAGGGAAGAGATATGGGAACATATGCATATGTATAACTGATTTACTTTGTTATAAAGCAGAAACTAATACACCATTGTAAAGCACTTATACTCCAATAAAGATGTTAAAAAACAAACAAACAAAACAAAAAAACCCTGTGCCCTGGCTTGGGAGGGCATGGGGTGGGGGAGGATTGGAGCCCCTGGGACCATTTAAAATCCAGCAGAAACCAGACATGGGGCTGGGACACCACCTGCAGAGCATTTCTGTGCCATGATCTGTGCAGAGCGACAGGCAAAGGGATCCTCCCGAGGCCCTGGCACGTGTCAGAATCCTGCCTGCACCTGGGGTTGCCCACCTAGCACCTCTCACAGAAGAGGACACTAGTGACCAGTATGATGCTTACCTGCTCCCCAAACCTTCTGGTCCAAGTTCCATGGAGGGAACTTAAAAAGACCAGGGTGGGAGTTCCCTGGCGGCCTAGTGGCTAGGATTACAGGCTTTCATTGCCGTGACCTGGGTTCAATCCCTGGTCAGAGTTGCGTGTTGTGGCCAAAAACACTTCCATCTTTACAACTGAAACCAAACTAATGGTGAAGGGGTCCTGCGAGGAGGGGGGCATTTGGAGGCACAGGGCAGCTACCATCGGGTTGGCAGGTCTCAGCAATGCCTGAGCGCCGGGCGAGTGGTCAGCTGGTCCAGCATCTTCTCCCCCGACCCCATATCTTCAGGGCGTAAGGAGTGGGAGAAAGAGGAGGGGACAGTAGGGGACACAGACGCTGCCCATCACCTAGGGGCCTCTATGTGGTGGTCCTGCCTCGACCTTGGCAAACCCGAGTCCCTGTGAGGGGCGACAGGGACAAACAGATGTCGTCTGCTGCCTGCCCCCACTCTCCTGCTCTGAGTCCTCTGGGGCCCCAGGGAGTAGCAGCAGTGCCCAGGCCATGGCCTTAGGAGTCAGATGACCCGAACCAGCCATGTGACTATCCGTCAAGTGCCTCCTGGATGGGAGGACTCGGGGGGGGGGGACACAGTATGTGGTGACTGTGACCTGTTATTCTTATCATTACTGCTGTCATTCCCCACATCTTCCCCACCCTGGAAGAGTCACCAAGCAGGATCCAATGTACCAGCGTCTACAGAGCAGCAGGGACTAGAGGGACAATGGGGAAAAGGATGGCGAGGAACCCTTTAGACGCATCCCAGGCAAGACTCAGCAGTGTGGGAAAGTAGAGAGCAGGCTTTCAGGAGTGGATTGAGTCTTTAGGATATTTGTCCCCAAATGTCCTCAACAAGACAGACTTTTGGTGTTGACAAGTCTCCCGATTAAAACAAAGTGACAGGGAATTCCCTGGCTGTCCAGTGATTGAGACTTTCGCCTTCTAATGCAGGGGGTGCAGGTTCAATTCCTGGTCGGGGAATTAAGATCCCACATGCTTCGGGGCCAATAAAACAAAATGTAAAACAGAAGCAATATTGTAACAAGTTCAATACAGACTTTAAAAGTGGTCCACACAAAAAAACAAAGTGACAAAACAACCCTGTAGGAATAGTGTTTACAGGTTCCCTTATCATCTCTAAGCCTTGTCTTTGAAGGGCCTCTGTCTGGTGCCGGCCTGGAAAGCGCTAGGTCCTGCTGCAGAGGCTGAGGACCCGGATGCAGAGATGCGTGGGGGCAGGGTAGGGCCTGGGATGCACTGCCTGCAGGGGCTGTCTAGAGCCTCTGATCCTTTCTTGGGTCTCCCGGCTGTCAACAAGCATCCTCTCTTGTGTTTGGCTGAGACTTTTTCTGGGGGGTGACAACCTGGCCCTCGGTTTCAAAAAGCTGGGGCCAAAGGGGCTGCAGCTGCCCTGTTGGCTGCACCTTCATTCCCACGTGGGGACAGTCCAGCCGTGTCTGCAGGAAGAACAGCCGCTGCCCACATGTGCAGGGCAGTAGAGCCTGGGTGCCAGGAACACGCAGGATGTCCCTGGAGCCCGTCTGGGAGACGCTGGGCTCGCCTAACTATCTTTTGTTTCACTGTCACTTCTTAAAGCCAGAAATTAGATGTTCAGATGAAAAAACCCAAATCAGCAGCCTGAGGCTTCAGAGCCTGGTGAGTGCGTGGGCAGTGTGGGCCCTCCCGAGGCCGGCTGGGCGGTGAGTCCCTCCCTGCTGTGGTGTCAGGGGGCACATGTGAGCTCATGAGATGCACACGGGGACTGTGCACACTTTCGCCCAAACATCTGGCAGGGTGCTGCTGTCCCGTCTGCCCCCCCCCCGACCACCTGCCCTGCATCCTTGGTAGAATCTAAGGTCTGAAGGCGGGAGTCATTCTCATGTCGCCCCCAGCTTGGGGGTCCCGTGTCCTCCCAAACTTCCTGTGCAGCTGGGGGTGGGGGCACGGCCGGGGCAGCACTTACCCCCCGCCCGAGCCGCCGTGCTTGCTGATGTGCGTGCGTGGCTCGCTGGAGGCCAGCTTCAGCAGCTCTGTCCACTCTCGCTCCCACTCTTCCTCCGTGTACACCAGCCCTGACTGGCGCAAAGGGGGGCGGGCTCAGGAGGGGGCGGCCACCCCTTACCCCCCCACCCAGGTGATCCTGGCCGAGAGCCTCACCTCCCGGTTTCGTCAGCCCCTGGGCCTGGGGCACCTGTTAGTGGCCGAGGACCATCCCCATTTGCTCTGACAGAATTTGTTCAGAACCCCCAATCTCCAACCTCCATGCCGTTGGGAGTCCACCCAGCAACAGGGGTCATTCCCAGGGGTGAGAACGACCAGTGTAACCTGTACGCGCACCGGGCAGTGCACCGACCACTGACACGTGCGTAGGGACCCGGGCAGACCCATCTTCAAGGGCTTCCAGGCCAGCGAAGGGCCAGTGCTCACCGAGGTTCAGGGATGAGGATTCCCTTTGGACTGAGCACACACACTGGGGCTGGGGCCGTGGGCCGTGCCAGGGCCAATCTGTGGCTGCACTGGCAGTGACCTGACGGGTGACCATCTAATTCACCATTCAGGTCGGGACAGCCTTGCGAGTGAAGGCGATTGGTTTTCATAATTACACCAGGACGGGTGGGGGAAATGGACGTCTGGTCGCTGTGGGCAGGGCCTGACTGTTGCAATGGGCTCCTCTTTAGTAGATCTGAGTAGGGGACGGAGCCATTGCTGCTGATCTCACAAGACATACTTGGCCTCGGGGCCCAGATCCGGACCCCACCCTGGCTTTGGCCACGCATGGTATGGTCCCGGCTCTGCCACGCCGACAGGTACCTACCTCCTTGTTCTGCTGCGTCTGCTGCCACCTCCATCTTCGCTTCAGGGCCTCCCTCTCGGCCCCCGTCCTCATCATGGTGTAGAGAGCTTTCCGCAAAACCAGGTCCCGGTCGTGAAAGCCCCACATGCCTGCAGCCGGGAGGCCCGTGAGGGGCAGAGGAGAGAGGAGGGACGTGAGGAGGAGGGGGGCAGGCCGGCAGGCGCTGAGACCACCACCGCCTTCCAGCCTTGGCCCCCGCAGCTGTGTGAGCAGACTAGCTCAGTAGCCAGCTGTTCAGTTCTCACGATTAGCAAGCAGCTGCCCTCTGTGCTCCCTTGTGATGTTTCCCGTGGATGCAGGCAGCGGTGAAGGAGCACGGCCCCTCCTTAGAGCTACAATAGTTTCGCTAAGTGCTGCCTGTCTCAGGGGCCCTTGGCAGGCTGCCCTCAACCTCTCAGGTTTGCTCTGAGGGATATAATGTTTGTGGTTCGGGCCTTGTGTTTGAGTGGGAGAGAGCCTGTGGGGACAATCGGTGATGTGCCCTCACACAGGGCCCAGAGCCAGGATGGCAGTCAGACTCCGGCTTCTTCGGGGGTCTGCTGCATCTGATGTCTGTAGCCCTGAGGCATCTCAGCACACATCTGGGTCCCGCGGAGAGCACCTGCTTCTGAAGGAAGTGCCCCTCCCGGCCTGTGCCGGGTGCCCAGGGGTCAATAAAGACAAACCAGCATCTCTGAGTACGCCTTTGGCGCAGCTCAGAAGTGGCCAAGAAACCCAACCAATGGAAGAAGCATCGTGAAAGAGAGATGCAGCTCTGGCTACAGGGAGAGAGGGGGGGAATTCATTCATTCGTTCATTTGTTTAATTGAATCCCATTAATTCCACCTAATTCCATACTTATTTCACAATAGGGGTGAGGCACCATTCTGAGTGCTGGGAATATCCACAGCAGCAACCAGGACAGACTGAATTCCTAAAATCCCACGAAGCCCACGTTGAGGGGAGGAGAGGCAGGCATCGAATTAGCATGGAACACCCTATGTTGCGGGCAGCAGCACCGTCGCGGGGATGAAGCAGGCCAAGAGGGCAGAGTGGTAGGTGGTTTGGTCACGGTGTGAGTGGAGACATTGGAGCAAAGACTTGAGTGGTGAAGGATGGGGCTGAGTCACAGGAAGAGGCCAGGGCTGGCCCCGAGGAGGCCCACGTGGCATACTAGGGAGGGAAAGGTGTCTGGAGCTGGGATGGAGGGGAAGAGGTGGAGACTGGAAGGGTGGACTTGAAGTGAGCTGGGACCCCCCCTGGAGAGCTTTCAGAGAGCAGTGACCCGCACTGACTGCTGATCAAAAGCCCAAACTGGCTGTACATCCTTTAGTGCAAAGACACGCGGATAACCTTGGGCTGCTGCGGGCTTTCTGTCCAGGGAGGCTTTGGTCTTTTTCTGCAGCACAGGCGGAGGGAGGTGGCTATCAACACTCCTTTTATGAACAGGCTGAGCTGAGCTTTCTCATCCCTCAGACCTGCCTGCAGCCTCCTCCCAGGCAGGGCAAGTCCCGGGTCCAGTCTACAGGCCATGGCTCCTTGTTTGGGTCTCTTTTGCAAAGAGGGTCTCCTTGTCCCATACATGTTTGCCCACAAGCCTGACCCCAGGATTACCGTCATTTCTATGTGTGCCCCACACCCTAGGTCAATGCCAGGGCTGGTCAGCAGGTCCATTAAGCACTGCTGGTGAGTGTGGCATGGCCACTTCGGGCAGTCCTGCTCCTGTGGGGTTCAGCAATTTAAGTACAAAAGGGGAACAAAGTACTGGGAGAAAAGAACCAACAGGCCACGAGTCCCAGGCTCAGTCTTGGCCTAGCCTCTCTTGCAGCTGGAGTGAGGGCCACCTGCAGAAGGCTTTCTCTTCCCAGGCAGACCTGGAGGGCCTGCTGTGCTCATGGGGAAACACATGCCATCAGACAGGACCACAGTGGCGTGTGGCCAGCTGGTTTGTGGCCTTATCCACCCATGGTCATGCCGGGGACAGTGCCTCTGCATGCTGCAGTTTCAGAAGGACAAAGGCACTTCCATGCCTGAAACTTTGTTAAGAGGCTGCTGGTTGACACAGAGGAGAGATCTCTTCTTTCATTTTCCTTCTCCAGGTTTTATACAAAACAAGATGAAATAAGTTCCATAAGAGGGAGATAGTGAATACATTACGATGGAATAGGACACAACTAGCAAAAATATGTTTTTGAAGAACAGCATGGAAAATTCTCAATACAATTTTAAGGGAAAAATGTTGGATTCCAAACTGTGAGCACCGTGAGGTCCTAATTTCACTGGAAGAATAGACAAAAGTGTGGAAGACAATATACCAAAATGTTAAAAGCAGCCATCGCTGGGCAGTGGGATTGCTGATTGTTATTTTACTATGATGAATGTGGAGTCAACAGACAGAAATGCGTTAGATTTGAAAGGGAGGAGGTGGGTGGGTACCCTTGTCTTCCCCATCACTCCTTGTCAAGTCCATGGAATGTGGGATGTTCCCTTTGCTCTTGGGCTCCATCCTCCTCTGGGCATCTCGGGGCCCTTTCCAGGTCCCCTCATTACCCTCTAAGCCTTTTCAGGCTCATCTCAGCCCACCTCTTACAGAATAGGCCTCACTACAGGTCTGAAGCAAGGTCTGGGGCGTCCTTGCTCTGGGACACAGCATCGGGTTAAGGTCATGTTTACCTGGGGAGGCGAGTTTGACCAACAAGGACCATACTCTCGTCGGAGGGGCCCATCCCTGGAGAGGGTCCTCATACTGCAGGACTGATAAGGCGCCACTGGCACTGATACTGGGGTCCCCGGCACAAATTCAGTTCTGCCTGTGTTGTAAGCCTCGGTCCAGAGGGGTTAAGTGAGCTTCCAGAAAGTCTCCCGTGACCTTCCATCATCCAAATATTGCCACCCACACTTGTGCATTTGCTGGTGTCGCTTTTTGTAACCAGGAAGCTCGCATCTCCATTGGAGGAGGTTGCTGACCTCTCTGTGGTGTATTCTGACTGTGCCGTGTCATTTACCCAAGCAGTACCTATGTCTGTCTTTTTGTCAGTCTGAGTGCATCAGCTGCAGTCAGTGTGGTGGCCCCAGACCTACCCAGCCTCATGTGCTGCTCCCCAGACTTCCTGCTCGAGCCCAACAGGGCTTAGCCCCGACCCCAAACACCATGTTAATTTCTGCCTTTCTGCTGTATCTATGTGGTCTCCCTGCCTGGAAGGTCCTTTTTTATAGTCTTTCAAGTTCTTCAAGTCTCAGTAAAATCTCACCTCCTCCAGGAAGTCCTCTTTGATTGCTCTAGATCACGATGTCTAATGCCCATCCCTGCAGCTCTGCTCAGGCCTCCTTCTATCAGGACAGGTCTTTTCTCGTGTGTGCTCTATGTCCCCACCAAGCCTGCCAGCTGCTTGACAAGAAGGGCAGGAATTGTTGGCTCCATCCCTTGGGGATTCTTCCAGATGACAGTAATGCACGTGGCTCTACTTAGTATATGATTGTCCTTTAATGACGCACAGAGCAGGCCTGGGCACTGCCACCCTCTGTCTACACTGTGGGGCTTACCCAGTGAGGCAGCGTGTAAAAGGCAGTTCCCGTCCCCTGTCGTGGCCAAAGGAAGAAGCCGTTTACAGCTCGTGCACACGGTGGACCACCAGTTCAGGCGACCTGGAACAGAAGCTCACGTTTAGAATCCCAGGACAGGCAGGGATGTTTGCTGAGTAAGCTTAAACATTGGCGGATGATTTTCTAGAGGATTCTAGAGAACTTCATTGGTAAGGTGGAGGGTTATGGTTACTTATTCTCAAAAAAAATACAGATTTTTTTCCTAAGATAAAAAACGGCCAAATTCTCCCATCAACTAGCAAGAAACTCAAGACTAAAGCCTTCTCTCCTTGAATCTGGGAACACATTTTACACAAAATGTAAAATTTTCCTTTGTGTAATTTCCTTGAACACAGTTTCCCCTCCCAAAAGTTATTTTTCTAAAAAAATACCATCCTTCTTTGTTGATGCATACATACCTTTGAGATATGGTTTATATTTAATTTTTTTAATTGACGTATAGTTGATGTACAATGTTCCAGGTGTACAGCAAGGTGGTTCAGTTATACATGCATGTGTATATATATATATATATATATATAAAATTTTTCAGATTCTTTTCCATTATAGGTTATTACAAGATATTGAATATATTTCCCTGTGCTATAGAGTAGGCCCTTGTTGTTTATCTGTTTTATATATAGTAATGTGTATCTGTTAATCCCAGACTCCTAATTTATCCCCCCTTTCCCCTTTGGTAATCATAAGTTTGTTTTCTGTGTCTGTGGGTCTATTTCTGTTTTGTAAATAAGTTCATTTGTATTATTATTTTTTTAAGATTCTACACATAAGTGATGTCATGTTATATTTGTCTTTGTCTGACATTGTAGCTATTTTGGTGAGTCATGTTAAATTTCATCAACACATCTCGAGACTTCTGCTTGCAGGAAGACAGAGTAGACATCCTCTCCACTACCTTTCTACTAACTACAACTAAAACCCCTGGACATTACATATAAAACAACATGGGAAGACTGAAAGGTGGAGAGAAGAAGGCAGACTGGCTAAGAACCTCAGGACTTGAGGCACATCCTGGTGGTAGGTGCCCTGGGTTCCTCTTTGCCTCACAAACCCCAGAGTAGATGCTAGAGAAGGTTACAATCTGGAAATAATGGATGCTGTCAAAAAAATCATGCTCTCTCTAGTCAGAACACCAGGAGAGGGGCCTCTTAGCCAGATAGCCACTGCTTAGAAAACAGCTGTTCTATTCCAGCCACACCCACAGAACAAACTGTAGCCCTCCCACCACTCTTCTAGCAGAGGCCGAGTGGGGAGCTGAGGCTTCATCCTTGCCAGGCTGCCATGAGTCACTCTCTACCCCTCCCCCACTGCCAGGTGGTGCAGAGTCAGCAATTGAACCCTGATGGATGGTAATGAGGATTCCACCCTTACCAAATGGAGAACATATGGGGAGCCTGGACTTTCACCCCAATCTGATGGTGATGAGGTTTGCCCACTACCGCCCAGCAGTACCAAGAAGCCCATGCCACATTAGGTTCCAGCAGAGGCAGTGTGGAAAACCTGTACGTCCACCCCCATCTGATGGCTGTGAATCAATGGCGTCCTACACCTAATGGAATGGTGTCAGAGAAGGTCTGCTGAAACACAAGATTTAAATGATTCAGAGTCTTATAACTTAATACTCAAAATATACAATTTTCAACTAAAAATTATTTACACCAAGAACCAGGAAGACCTCAAATGGAATGAGGAAAGACAACTAACCAACACCAACACAGATAACACAGATGTTAGAATTATCTGACAGAGATTTTAAAGCAGGCATCATAAAAAATGTCTCAACAAGCAATTACAAACAGGCTTGAAACAAATGAAAAAAAAAAAGAAAAATGTCAGCCAAAAAAAGTCTCAACAACAACAACAAAAGAAGATACAAAGAAAAGCCAAATTAGGATTTTGGAACTAAAATAATCCAACAATTGGTTAAAAAAATTCAATGGATGTACTCGATAACAGAATGGAGAGAATAGAAGAAAGAATATGTGGATGACAAGGCATAACATAGAAATTACAGAAACTGAATAATGGAGAGAAAATAAACTAAAAAAGATCACGTGACCATAGTCCCATAGGAGAGGAGAAATAGGGTAGAGCTGAGAAAAGTATTCAAAGAAATAATCACTGAAAACTTCCCAATTTTTGTAAACAAACAAACCTATAAATATATGAATTCAAGAAGCTGAGAAAATTCTAAATGGGAAAAACCCATGGAAATTCATGCCAAAACACATCATAGTCCAATTTCTGTAAACTAAAGACAAAGAAAAAGCCTTGAAAGCTTCTAAAGAGAAACAACTCCTTACCTATATGGGAAAAACAATTGTAATGACAGAGAATTTCTTATCAGAAACCATGGAGATCAGAAAGAAGTGGAACAATGTTTTTCAAGTGCTAAAAGTAAAGAGCCATCAGTCCAGAATTCTATGTACAACAGAAGTACCCTTCAGAAATAAAGGGGAAATCAACACATTCTTAGATGAAGGAAAACTAAGAGAATTTAGGTTTCCAGTAGACCTAATTTAAAAGAATGGCTAAAGGAAGTTCTCTAGACAGAAAGGAAATGACAAAAGAGGAAATCTTCAAACATTAGGAAGGAACAACATGGAAAGAGCAAAAATATGAATGAATACAGAGACTTTCCTTCTCCTCTTGAATTTTCTAAATTATGTCTGACAGTTGAAGAAAAAATTATAACATTGTCTCAATGTGTGTATAAGAAATATTTAAGACAATTATAGATGGTGGAGGATAAAGGAGCATAAAGGCAGGTAAGGTTTCTATGCTTCATAAAAGTGGTAAAGTGTCAGCACTTTATGTGTATGCTTTGATAAAGTATGTATATAACATAATATCTAGAGCAACCACTAAAAAGCCTATACAAATAGACATACTCAAAAAATCCTATACAAACTCCTGCAGAAAATGGCCAGTATTACCTTGATACCAAAACCAGACAAAGAAAATATAAAAAAGAGAGAAGTACAGATCAATACCTCTCATGAATATGATACACAATTCTTACCAAAATAAAAACAATTAGAACTCAGCATTTTATAGAAAAATTATACACTACATTTAAGTGGGGTTTATTACTGGGATGCAAGGCTAGTTTAATATTTGAAAATCAATCAATTAATATAATTCACCATATTAACAGTTTACAGAAGAAAAATCACTTGATCATATCATCAATGCAGAAAAAGCATTTGACAAAATTTGATACTCATTCATGACAAAAACTCCCATTAAAAGTAGGAACAGAGGGGAACTTTCTCAACTTGGTAAAGAACATCTACAAAAACCATACAGCTAACATCATACTTAAATGTTAAAGACTGAATTCTTTCCCCTTAAGACTGGGAAAAGGTGAGGATGCTCTCTCTCTACCTGCTCTTCAACATAGTACTGGAAGTCCTAGCCAGTGAAATAAGTCAAGAAAAAGAAATAAAAGTAACACATATCAGAAAGAAAGACCTAGCACTGTCCTTATTTGCAGATGACAGGATGGTTTATGTAGAAAATCAGAAGGAAGCTACAAAAAATACTATAACTCATAAATGATTTTGTCAAGGTCACAGAATACATGATCAACATACACAAATCAATGGTATTTTGACATACTAACTCTGAACACATGGGCCTCAAATTTTTAAATATCATACTATTTACAATAGCTCAAAAATTAAATACTGAAGTATAGGTATTACATTTCAAAATAACATTTTCAGTACTTGTATGCTAAAAACTATAAAATGCTGATGAAAGAAATCAAAGAAGATCTAAACAACTGGAGAGACATACCATATTCATGAACTGGAAGACTCTCAACACAGTAAAGATGTGAATTCTCTCTAAATTGATGCATAGATTAAATGCAATTTCTATCATAATCTCAGCAAGGTGTTTTGAAGAAAGGTGATTATTACCAATTTAGAATTCTATACCCCAGAAAAATAGAAAGAAAAAATTCATCATGAGCACACCTGCAGTAAAGAATTCTAAAGGGAGATCTCCAGACAGAAGGAAAATGACTCTATGGGAGGCAGGGTATACAAAAGGAATAAAGAGACTTGAAAGGGCAAATATGTTGGTAAATATTGATTGTTTAAAGCAATACTAGTTATGGCTTTTGGGGATCAAGTTATATGTAGAATTAAAACACATGACAGCAACAACACAAAATATGGGAGTCTGTAACAAATGACATAAATTCTAAGGTTCATACATTGACCAGAAAGAGGTAAAAGTGCTAACTTAAGATAAATTCTAATAACTCAAAAATGCATGTTGTAAACTCTAGTGTAACCACGAAAAGAATAATAAGAAATGTATAACTAACAAGATAGTAGAGGGGAAAACAGAATGATAAACATCCTTAAATAATTCAAAAGAGTACAAGAAAGAGAAAAAAGAAACACAATAACGAAAAACAAACAGCAAGATAACAGATTTAAACCAAAAGAGCATTTATATTAAATGTGGATGGACTAAATATTCCAATTAAAAGACACTGTCAGCCCTCCTTAAAAACCAACTATATATACTGTTGACAAAAGAAACCATAAATATAATGACACAGAAATTTGACAGTAAGTAGGTAGAGAAAGATATATCATTCAAAAATAAGCAAAAGTAAAGCTGGTAAACTTTTACTGCTATCAGATGAAGTAGACATCATTAAGACATGAGATAAAGAGGGATATTTCATTGTGTGGTCCGAGCACATACTCTGAATGATTTCAAATCCTTTGAAATTTATTGATACAATCTTTATGTCCCACCATGTAGTCGATTTGGAAAATTGTTTACTTGAAAAGAATATATATTTATTCTGCAATTGGTAGGTGCCATGTGGTATATATGTAAATTAGGTTAAGCTCTTTATTTATGTTCATCTGATCCCTACTGATTTTTTTGAATATTGATTCTATCATTTATCAAGAGAATTCTGTTAAAAATCTCCAGTTTTGATTTTAGATTTGTCTATTTCTCTTTCGAGTCTGTCAATTTTTGCTTTATATATATTTTAGGCTAAATCTTAG